CAATTAAAACATTGTCACATTGATAGCGCAATTTATTGTGGAATCCATTTTGATTTTCCGCTTCTAATGCGTTCAATATCGTTCCGTTTCAAAGCATGTATCATGCGCATAATGAAACGAAACGCAGCCAATGCGCTAAGCATTAGCGATGCGAACGATGCGTGCTATGCGCAAAACGGAACGCAACTACTATCTTAAAGACAGCGGGCGGTATTCATAGTCCGTTCTTATATTCAAGATCGTCTTAAGCACGAACTTATATTCGTTCTCTTCGTCAGACACAATCTATGTGTGACGAAGAGAGCGAATATAAGTCCGTGCTTAAGACGATTTTAAATATAAGAACGGACTATGGGCGGTATTCATAGTCCCTTCTTATATTCAAAATCGTCTTAAGCACGGACTTATATTCGCTCTCTTCGTCAAACATAGATTGTGTCTGACGAAGAGAGCGAATATAAGTTCGTGCTTAAGACGATCTTGAATATAAGAACGGACTATGAATACCGGCCTATGAATACCGCCCTTTAACTTTTAACTTTTGCTATGCTGTGATGACATAGCCGTGATATAATGCCGTCTAATGTGTATGCGTGTGTGTAGTGGGTGTGTGCGTATGTGTGGGTATATGCTGTGTGTGTGTATACACACGCACGTACACACCCACCATTTACTCGCATACACACCTACACGATACATGCAGCACACACACGTACGCACACACACGCATATGCACGCACAGGCGCGCATACGCACGCACACGCATGCGCACCCGCTCCGTACTCTGTACCCGCCATATTCAAATAAAATTATTTATCTTGCGTTTTAAACAAAACAAATGTTGGAATTATAAATTTAACCGATTATTAATAATGTACAAACGACGTACAAACGATTAAGCACAATAAATTCATAAGTTATAGTTTACGTGACGTAATTGCGACATAGGGGGGCTAACTATCATTGGCACAGTTACGAAAACTTTGTAATTTTTTTTTAAATTAACGAAAAATGTACAAACAATAAAAATCATAGTACATTCATGTACAAACAATGTACAATCCGAATATATAAATGTTTTTACGATTTGCGTTAGAGGGGGGGGCAACTATATAGACCTGTAACAGTAATAACGGTTTTCGCAAAGTGCAGAGCACAGTTTTCAAAATGGATGCATTTCGGAAAGATGATTAAGTAGAAGAATGTATAAATAATTTATTTATATAGGTACGATTGTTCGTATATATACCGCCAATAGTGACAGGTAAACTAGAGGCTTCGTATTATCAGATAAGATATGTTGGGATACGCATATAAATATTGAATCGATGCATAAGATTAAATCGATGTAATGGCCAGTAATTCAGTACTCTTCTTCTTCCTCAGTGTTAACGGCGTCTTCTTGCACTTCGCGGTAATCGAGCTCTAAGGCGGCCAAATCCTCCCTAGCTTCCGAGAATTCACCTTCCTCCATACCTTCCCCGACGAACCTACACATCCATTACATTGTATTCCCTTTCTGGTAAGTTACAAGGTTGCGTATGAATAAATCACACCTTATAACGAAAAATCCTTGCGCCATAATGAATATTTCAAGCAATATATCAGAAATACTTTTCACATTAAATTAGGTTATTGAACGATACATATCGAAAAAAATAAGAGGAGACACTTTAAATAAACTTTTTCAACTAGAGAAATTTCTATATGCTTAGTAAGACAGTCTTACCAATGCACAAAAGCTCGCTTGGCGTACATGAGATCGAATTTATGATCGAGTCGAGCCCATGCATCCACGATTGCTGTTGTGTTGCAAAGGCAACATACAGCTCTTTCCACTCGAGCGAGATCGCCACCGGGTACAACGGTTGGTGGTTGATAATTTATTCCCACCTGTGACAAAGATATTTGCATTGACACTTGATTTTGATCCAGTAAGATTTTTATAAATAAATGAATTGAATAAATTGAACTCATGAGAATCTATTTTTAAAGTAAATTAAAAATTAGAGATTAATTGTATTATTCTCAAAATCCTTTTTATTGTTTTATTTATTTTACTTTTATTTTTAATTCTCTTCTAAATTTTATTTGTTTTAATTCTCTACCTTGAATCCCGTCGGGCACCATTCAACAAATTGCACATGTTTTTGCCGTTTTATTGTCGCAATTGCTTCGTTTACATCCTTAGGCACTACGTCGCCTCTATACAGTAAACATACTGCCATGTATTTTCCCATACGCGGATCGCAATTCACCATTTGATGATTCGGTTCGAAGCAGGAGCTTGTTATCTCCGAGACGGTCACTCTTTCATGTCCGGCCTTTTCCGCTGATAATACGGGTGCATATGTAGCCTATATCATTAAAATGCAATAATTAAAACACAATAATTGACCAAATAATCGTCTATTTTAATTTTATTACTAATGTAAATTTTAATTTTAGAAAAAGGTGTTCAATCTTACAAGCGGAAAATGGATTCTTGGATAAGGCACAAGATTCGTCTGGAATTCGGTGAGATCAACATTCAGAGCTCCGTCAAATCGTAAACTGGCGGTGATGGAAGAGACCATTTGTCCAATCAGCCGATTGAGGTTCGTGTAGGTAGGTCGATCAATGTTCAAGTTTCTCCTACATAACTCATAAATGGCCTGCGGATAACACGCGATTAAAGACAGACGACTTTGCTATTACTGTGTGAAAGAGCAGCATGATGAAAGATATAGTCGCAATAAATTTATTTTATATGTAGAATATTTGACAGGACATGCAAGTTTTCTGATCATAAAATTGCGAAAAATAGCTGCTATTTCATCAATCGATTTTTCAATATCTGATTTACAGAAGCAAATAAAGAATTCAGATGTTCAGAATAACTTATTTAACTTTTACAAATATACTTAATTTGAAATTCTCATGCATAAAAATACAAACCTGATTATCTACAATGAATGCCACTTCACTATGTTCTAATGTCGGATGAGTGTATAGAATCGCGTTGTAAGGTTCCACTACCGCAGTCGATACCTATAAAAAATAAAAACTCTTTCAAACTCACTAGTCGAATAATTAATCAACTGAATAATTTTGTAATTCTAAGGAACAAAGTTGCAAATTTGCAAATAGGGATGTATATATTATATTCATTGGTCAGTCAGAATCAAAATGAATCAATTGAAATATCCTATATGTAGGGTATAATGTTACCTGTGGTGCTGGATAAATGCTAAAAGTCAGTTTGCTTTTCTTCGGATAATCGGCAGATAGTTGTTCCATGAGCAGACTTGAGAATCCGGATCCTGTACCACCGCCGAACGAATGGAAGATCAAAAAACCTTGCAAGCCTTTGCACTGCTCGGTCAATCTGCGTATTCTATCCAAAGTGAGATCTATAATCTCTTTCCCTGAAAATCGCATAGACAGTTAAGACTAGCATAGGCATTTGGTAAAATCTATATAAAACTAATTTATATTATTGATTTTTTTTAAAGCAAATTTTTTATTAATTAAAAAATTTTTTTATGTATATTATTTTCTTTGAGGACTACATGTATCGACATGATTAAACTTCATCATGTTAGAAATATATAGCTGTAACAGAAAACTTTAAAATACCTATCGTGTAGTGACCCCTGGCATAATTATTAGCCGCATCCTCCTTCCCGGTAATCATTTGCTCCGGATGGAACAATTGTCTATAAGTTCCTGAGCGAACTTCATCTGATATGTTAAAGAAACAAATCGTTATATATTATCTCAAAATCGAAACTGTTTGTTTGGGGGGATTAACAACTAAAATTCCTACATTTTGTAATTTATCATTTTAAAGTCCAATAACACATTTATTTTCCATAACATTGTAGCTTTAAAATTGTATAATTTTGAATGAATAAATTGTTACATATTTTAATTATAATCGAAAATCGACAGCTATCGCTTGGAACACTTGCCTACAACCGTCGGTTCGAGGTCAACCAGCACTGCTCGTGGAACATGCTTCCCTGAACCTGTCTCGGAGAAGAACGCATTAAAGGAATCGTCTCCAGAACCCACGGTGGTATCAGCAGGCATTTGCCCATCTGGATGGATGCCGTGTTCCAAACAATAAAGCTCCCAGCAGGCGTTCCCCATTTGCACGCCCGCCTGCCCTATATGAATTGATATGCATTCTCGCTGTGAACAAACAAATAAATAGGTATTTATCATTTTTTCTTATAAACAACATAAATACATAATAACATCCGCAATTTAAGGGGTCTAGAATCGATAATTATTTAGAAAAGAAAAACATTTTCTCTCGATCTGCAATTTTTATCTTTGATTCTTCGTCTTTTTGAGTAAAGATACTAAAAACTAATTTATGGACTGAATATGTAATAAATTAAGTAGAAAAATTAATTAATTTTTTCTTTTTAAATATACAGTGAAATGTAAAAAAATAGTATATTGTTATTGGACAATTGATAGACTACTGGAATTAGCTTCTAGTTTTATAACCATTAATTATTAGAAATAATTGATATTCATAGACATAAGTCCATTATGCTTCTATTACATCGCATAAATGATCATATCACCCTTAGGCATCGTTAAAAAATTTACGATACCTTTTACCGTCTTTACAGCCTCGTAAGGACAACATAAGATGCACGAATCGTTAAGCGATAAATATCAGTAAAAAACTTAAAATATTAATTACCTTTTTCGCCATTTTTAAAAAGGTTTTATTTCTGTTTAGTTGAATGAATGTTTAGATGAACACAGAATAATTGCTAGCTATACACACACTCATAGAAAATTGGGCGAAACAGAAACACGAAAGTCGTATAATAATCTCAAGACACGCGAAGGTACTTAATCCAGTACTTTGATTAATTTCATTAACTGTTTCCTTGCATCCAACACTCACTCAACATAAGTGAAGTTTTCATGACTTCTTAAAAATTTTTTTGTAAATTTACAGATTTTATTAAATTCACTGATAAAACTTGTGTGTTGTGATATATTTTGAAATATTCTCGATAATTACTACATGAGAGATAATTGAAACAGATAAATAAATTAAAAAGACTTTACAAGAACTTGTTTTGCAAAGTTATGAACTTTTCATTTTGGAAATAAACTTTATTAAATTTTATAATTGATCCATTCTATTTTATCCGAATGTCGATTTATTAATTCTAATTCTCACAGTCCGAAATTTAAATAATAGATATCTCAAAAGAAATTAAATAATTAAATATTCAAAATATAAAATTTTGTACACGTTATTTCAAGACAAAATGTTTGTCACAAGTGGCACAAATTTTTGACGAACCGAATACTCAATTAAGCGAAGTCTGTCGATCGAGTTAACAAGATTGACAATAAGAATAGAGCTATGCTTAACAAGGAATGATTACTGACGGCCGAGACGTCGTCGACTAAAACAGTAAGACTTTATCCTATCAACAACGTCTAGTAGGAAAAAATGCCCACCTTGACCTGACGTATCTTCCATTAATAAATGAGCCATGTCCTAAAATTGAACATCTATACCGACATGTCTATAGCCGGCCTACTTTCCGGCCAACTTACAAACGCACATGGACAGTGTGTTGTCTCTCGCGCATCACGATATTATATATTCTATATCTGCATGGTACGGTAAAAATCGATTTTTTACAGGTTGACACGCTGTAACCATAGCAGCTTAATCGAACATCAAGACTGCATGCCTGCATGTGACACGATTGCGCGATGAAGATGATCCCACGTGAGTAAAGAAATCAGTTTCATTGTTCATTGATAAGATGGCTGGGCCAAATATGGCCACCTGAGCTTTAGACACATTGCTCTTTTTTTCAACAGAAATATTTGAAGATTTATTCAAGCATATTTTTATTCAAATATTTAAAAAAAAATATAAGTTTAAAAAAAAATTGCAAGTTTAAAAGAAAAATTTATTTGACTTTGGATGGCTATTTCCAGCGTAGATTAAACTCAATCGACGATTCAAACTTGTCGACAAAATTGTAAACATAAAGACTGAAGTATCATTGCCAAAAGGAGAAAAAATTTTAAACCTTTGGTAACAATACTTCTTCGTGTTTGCAAGTTTGAATCGTCGATTAATCAACGCTGGCAATAGTCTTCATGTGCTTATTCACATTGAATGACACAATCAGAGGATCTAAAAAACCGTTGCAATTGTAAGAGTCATAGAGGAAGGAAATGATTTCACTAATATGAAATTGTCGATCGACATGCATTTGTGGTGTGGATCGATACTTCATAATTCAAGTTTCGCGTGTGGCTTTCAGAATATACAGGATATCTATCACAAGCATTACATACATTCTTTAAACTATAGATATTATATAACAAACTAATATAAAAAAATATATTTGTAACATAAGAATAAGAGATAATTATTAATGACATTAATATTTGACTTAATGTTCCAAAAATAATCATAAGCGTATTTTTGAAAATTCACGTTTTATCAAAACGTTAAGCTCGAAAAACTGCACTAAGTAATAAGAAATTATGATACAGCAAAAAATATTTTTGTTGAGAGAGTATTACTTTTAATATCTACACATTTGATAAAATTGCATTTATTGCCTCTTTTCTAATACGAGTTTTTTAAATTCACTTCTCAATCATTCTTCGAGTTTTTTTGCACTTGCTTGATTTGGAGGATAACTTATTTCATAAAATTATTTATAGAAATAGTTAAAAATTTATAGTGCACGCGATATGATATTTACCGAGTTGTGTACTTCATGTCTCTCTGTGACATATGTAGTACACATATTCTATGTACTTTACTAAGAACAGAGTTACTGTACAAAGACACGTATAATTCCTATTATCAGAATGTTTACAAAAACACATATTCATATAATAAATCGATAGAAGAATTGTATTGATTGAAGAAATAATATATTGCTATAATTTATAATTAATGCAATATAAGTTACGATAAAATTTAGATATAAATGGCAGGATTGTTGAAAATATCTGCAGTTACAATTACAGATTTTGATTTTTTGAAAATGTACTTTGTGTATTATAAATGATTTCTTGTTTTTTATATAAATGCACACATTAATAGAATGAAAAAGTAATGGAATGCCTTTATATTAATGCTGTCGAATGTTTTTTTCATGTTAAAGTTCTATTTTTTCTAAAATATCTACTTTAATGCAATCAAATTAAAAATCTTTTCGTTAAAATACATATATATATTTTTTAATGCCAAGTATAATGGAAAATGATGCAAACGCGATAGAGAAACAAAGTACTCACCATTTTTCTGGTTGCACTTGGTAGCAAGCAACGTGTCGGACCGTACTACGTCTCGATCACTGTCTGACTTCGCGGATAGTCCGATCACTGTACTTCACCGTTTAATAGTAGCGCTATATACAATATTTGCTCAAGCGACGCGGATGTGTTACTATAGTACTCGCGACAATGTACACATATATACGGATGCACATCTGCGTATCAGTTACGCTATAGAAGACTTGTGGAACTGGTTCAAGGTATAGGAATAGGTTCTTCTCTTCACACTTTCTCTCTAAAATTAGAGATTAAGGCATTTTGTATATGTTTTCACATAATTTATCACTTAATATTTATATTTCTTATACCATACATTTCGAACATTCTCTCGTAATCAATATTCTAGATTATAAAAATAGTTCTACAATTGAAAGTTATGTATAAGTCTTAAAAAGAGTCTATTTTATTTTTCTGCACAAGTAACTATTGTTTTTTGCCTCTTTGGACTCGACAAAGTTATTAATTGTACTCTTCTAGGGGTTTTGTGACATATGATCGGTGCAACATCCACTTTCGGTGGAGTAGTTTTCGCTTTTGTTTTGGTCGTGTCATTAATGCTCTCTTCATATACTAATTTGATGTCTTCTGTTTCTTCTGTATCCTCATTTAATTTCTTGATCGTCTGTAAATCATTGATTTCTGATGTAATACTATGCTCGCTCATGACTTTCTTCGATTTCTGTCCATTAAGTTCTTCAGGCGGATCATTTACTATTGTTTTAGTATCACACTTTACAAGATCAATATCCATTGCACAATCGTCTATGTCAAACGTTGTTAAGTTGCTTTTCATTGGATTGTCTTTCATTTTGTTCGAAGATTTTTTGCCAGAACTTTTAGGCGTCTTCTTCACCGCACTAACAGGTTCCTTTTCATAAATTTTACCTAGTTCACCTTTTTCAAAATGTATTACAGAACAATAGCCATCGCTTGAGGCAACGATTAAATTTTGGCCATCACTGGACCTAAATGAAAGACAAAAAAGAAATTGAGACTCGGAAGTAATTCAAATAAATAACGTATATATAATCACATACCATGAAAGATCATTCAGTCTACCATAGTGAATAAGTGTTATCACACCAATAGGAGAAATTTGCTGTGTATCATAAATTAATATAGAACTTTGAGTTGCGACAGCAAATACCATTCTATAAGGCAGTGTTATCAAAGCGTCTGGACCATTCTCTCGCAATTCGAAATACACGGGACAACATCGTACAGCTATAGTACATTCGTTTAGAGTTGGCAAAATCATTATCGGTCTGAAAAGTACACTTTTGCTGTTAAAATTGCCTTTTTTTAAATCAAATTAGAGATAATTTACTTTTATACTGACTCTTTTATATTATGCCTAGAGAAAACAATCGTTGCATTTGATATAGTTTCTGTAGTCTCATGTGATTCTATTATTCCGGAAGGAACAAAAATCAATGATCCGTCTATAGAAAAGGTCAGCCTCCGAAAAAAAGATTTAAATGTGTCGTCATAAAATAAACGTACAAGTTTCCTCTCAAGTGGACTTTCGGATGATGTTGGGATTACGGATTTATAAACACGTTGGACGACTTTCTTTGTAGCAATACTTATTAAGCGGCAGTGCCTAAAAACAATACATTTTATGATTTATATTAAAAATTCATGTTTTCTTCCTATAATTTTTAAATTGTGGATTACGTACCTGTCTGTGCTAATGGTGCAGACATATTGATTACAAGGATCCCAGGACACTCCTTGGACGAAACCTTTGTGATCCGATAATATTGCAGTTTTAAGGCCTTTCTTAACATCCCATATTATAGCAGTGTTGTCAACTGATCCAGAAATTAAAGAGTTAGAGTCTGGTGACCAGCTGATATCATAAATATCTTCGATATGACCCCTCAACACCTTCCAAGAAGTCCACTGTTCTTTGCTTTCAGTATCATCTGAAGGTGCAGAAGAGTCTCGGTCCTCTTTGATTTTCCACAAGATAATAGTTGATTCTATGTTTTATATTAAAATTGATATGAGTTTAGACTTATATAATAAAAGTACAAGTAATGAGCAATAATACAATAGCATATAGATTTATCAATAGCCAACCATCATCTCCTGATGCTAGAATTTCCTTCGATGGAGAGAATCTTACTACATTTACTGCTCTTTGATGACGTTCCAAGTCTGCTGCAAAGTTTACAGTAGCTCCACCACACTCTGTTGTTATCAAGTGCCATATCTGCATTTAAATACAATCATTTAAATTATCTTTTGCAAATTATTCTTAAATATGTATTGATAATTAAATCAACCGTTGTAGAAAGACTGCTAGAAAATCTTACATCTTACAAAAAACAAAAATTATTTGACAGCATTAATATGACTATGCAAATTCTGTTACTATTTTATTATTATTCTTATACCAATAGCTATAAAATAGTGTTGTTAATGTATAAACATTACAAAAGTTAAAAATTAAAAATTGGTTATTTTAGATATTTCTAGATACATAGAAAAATTTAGGTATTTTTCGAGTAAAACTCTTCACGAAAAAATATACAATTATATTACCAAAACATGACAATCCGCTCCTCCGGTCGCTACTCTCCAAAATGTTTCTCCTTTCAAATTCTCACACAGACTATTTTGTATATCAACACTCAGTACCGGGTCACGGTTATGCCACGAAATTTCAGGAGTAGTACACTTCATTCTTTCGATTAAAATAAAAAAAGAATACGATATTCACACGATATATTAAAAGGGAGAATAGATTATTACACGTAGGTGGTTTTTATATCGACTCTACTTAACCTTCTAGTTGTCATTTTATTCGCGCCAGAAATGTTGGAAAAAATTTATAGATCAGTTAGGTTAGGTAAAAGTAATGTAGCCACAAGAGAAAATTAAAAGTTCCTATATATTTTATGATTTTCTCAAGGCGGATGCACAACGAATCTGTGCTGAATGCGCCGAAAGGTGTTGTCATAGCTACCATTTGAGTGATACAATAAATCATATAAACTGCAAATACATTTAACTTTTATACTGATATCTTTTCTATAGATAGTAAATGACTTCCTTAAGTACAAGACAATATACGGTTGTAATAACCCTGCAATATGTCATACTACTTTTTGACATTTGTGTGAATTCGTTTGCAAGCTTTGCCAGACAGCATCCAACAGATTTGCTGGTACTTTATGTGTATGTAATAACATTCATTTTGTATATGCATTTTTATGGCATTACATCATTATAGAATTATAATATTTAATTATTGTTTTTTCTTCAGGATTCAAGATTTTTGTCTTATTGTGGCTCTTACACTTCTCTTAGTAAACTTCTTTTCTACTTATATTTTTCAGGTGAACATATAGTAACTTCTTTCTCAATAATATCTCAATAGCACTTTTGTTTTCAATCTTATACTATGAACAAAATTTTCACAAGTCAGAGAAATATATAACATGAATTACTTTTTTAGGCAGGTTTAATACAACTGCTGTATACAAGATTCCGCATGACATTAGTATTATGTATTATATATATGATATTATCCATCAGTTTACACACATGGCATATTACCATACATTGGGCGATGCCATTAAAACATTATTGGACAAAAGGATTTCATGCTCTTTATTCTATACAAAGAACAGGTATTGCATCAGAAATCTTGATAGAATAGCTAGGTAGAGTATATTTTCTTGATAAGCATATTTTAATCTGGGTTTTCATAAAGTTGCAGTACTGTATTATTATTTTTATAAGAGAACCTCTCTAAGAATCGGTGATCCAAGATTTTACAAAGGTTCTGCTTGGGTACACAAACAATTGAGCATCTCATAAACATATAGAATTAATATATAAAAATAATGGTAATTTTTATAAAATAGATGTAAGAATACATCTGCATATATTTCAAATTATGTGTATTTGTACAAATCTATACTATTACATAAACAAAGTAAGAAGAGGTGATGTAATATTCAATTCACATACATTAAAATATAAATTCTAAATTTCTATATTGTATGAACATCTTACATTTTGTACTTACATTTATATACATTATGTAGAAAATTTCTGTTACTAAGTATCTGTATACAACTTTGGTGTTTAAGATTTGAGAACTATTTTATACATTATTGAAAAATAATTGTGCCAATGTATATTAATGAAAAATAGATATATTGCTAGTTCATAAAATACTCCATATTTTTATATGAGCTACATATATAATTACTATATGAATAAGAAAAATATTTAATACTTTTATTTTCTTATATCCATTCATTTAGTTGCAAGATATCCTGGTACAAAATTCAAATTACATAGAGCCTTATAATATTTAACTGATGCTATGTCATACTTATATTAATTGCATAATACAGAATTTATTTTTGATACAAATTTCTAATACAATAATTAAAGTTGAAGTAATAAAAGATATAAATTTGCTGAATTCTAACTTCTATAAAACTGTTACTAATATTAGTTTTGTACTAATAAAAGATTTTAAAACTTAATAATATCACAAGTGCACACTTTTTTCTGTGTTATTACACAAGTCAACATAGTATCAATCTACATTATGCATAAGCATAATATAATAAACAAATAATTCTGATTATATGCAATTAATGCTTTTTGTGGGCAAAAATGTAAGAGATATTACAAGAAATATTATTTTTTTATACATAATAATATAAAATGTAAGACAAATTATAAACGTTGAGTCAAATTAAATTTACTTCTAACGGTATAATTATATTATACGCGATATGTATCTTTAAGTTAGCTTTGTAATTTTTATTTATCAAAACGTAGAGATAAATTACAGGAAATGTTCTATTGAATTTATGAAAAATATGCTTGTGAAAAATTCATCAAACAGTTTAATATTTATAATGAATGTGATGATGACCAGAGATATCCTGTATAATGAACAATTTAATAATTTACAGAATAACCATCTATATATTATATTCTGCAAATAATTGTACAATGTATGTGATATATAAGTATTTAAAGAGAAAAATGTCGAATTTGTTTTTTGGACGAAATAATCACACGGGATATTTCAACCAAAATATTTATGTAATATTCTAATTAAAATATTCCTTTAAGAAATCTTCCTATAGAAATATATTTTTTTTAGAATATATATTCTATCCTTAGAAATATCTCATGCAAAACCACAAAGTTGATGTTTCTCGCTTTAGAATTATACATACACTGGCGGATCCTGTAAACCCCCTTCCAAGTTAAAAAAAATCAATTTTGCTGTTTCAAGAATCTTAGTAAAAAATGCATTAAACATTAAAATAGGTCGATACCCCCCCCCCCCTCCCCATTATCGACATCAGGATCCGCTAGTGCATACATATGTATATATACATACATATCTACTTATACAGAGTTACTTTCATAGAAAGTCTGTATATATTTGTACTTAGATTACATATTTATTTTCAGTATTTCGGTTTTTACTCGATTTTTTGTGAAAATATTCTACATACCACCAGTACTGCGTAATAGCAGTGAGGTATTTTTTTCTTGATTGAAATAATACCCATCAGTTTTAGCATCTTTTTCAAACTTGCATAGTATGATTACCATGTAAGAAAAGTAGTTTGTCGATCAAATGTGGTGGTAAAGCTGCTCGTCTCGTATCATACTGAATCTGCATATCCGCTGGAATTCGGGTGGGAGTTGCGCAACAAGCGGGTACACAGTGATACCTATTCGCTAACTTTGCTAGATTTGGACACTTCGCAGATATCTTAGCCCACCATTGAAGGGGACAATTGTCAAGTTCAGCTATAGATTCCGATTGATACTGTACAAGTTCAAGATCTGCTTTCTCTTCTGCGGGTATTCCAGTCTTTACAGCACATAAACCACCCAGTAATTGCTCCATACCTGCAATCAGTAACAATTTAAAAACGTTTATTTCGTGTTTAGTCTTTAATCGCAAATGCACTGTACGCTCAAGTACCTGATCTACTTTTTTTACTTGGTATTTCATCTTCGCTCTTTATGGCATTGTCTCCAGAGTCTTCTTGAATCAATTTCGTCAACATTTCCTTTATAGGGACGCTAACTATATTTTTATCTTCTTCAGTAACGTACGGCATTGACTTAAACCTGTGTAACAGAGAAGTAGAGATCTTGTTAATAGCGACATACATAAAGCTACATTCAACATGTTTAAGATTTCCATATTAAAATACCTGGGATCCAAGGTAGTTGCAATTTGTAGAACTAAAGTGACATTGTATTCCGCATATCGCTCGTATAACATGTCCGATAAGGATTCTTTAAAAGTCTTCGCAATATCACTGTCCGATTCTTTTATTTTGAGATGCGAAGAGACAAGTTGCCAAAGTAACGGTTTTAGCAATGATATCAGAGGCATTTTTTCTTCGCTTAATGTTATAATTGTAACTTTAAACGGGTCAAGAACATTAACAATATCTTCTATGATTTTCCACTGGTCGTTGCTGATTTCAAACATGTCTTCATTTATCCCTTCTGTACTTTCTAATAACTCTGTAATTATAGTACGACGCAGCACCATCTGTTCCAACATATTATACGTCGATATCCATACAACTGGATAATCCAGTATCATAGCATTTTCTTCCAACTGTAATGAAAATAATACTTATTATACTAATATTATAATAATACTTATTATAGAATATTTATAAACAAGAACTTGAGAATATTATAAATTCAAAAGAAACTTAATAACATACCTCTAATAATTGTTCTTGCATAGTCAATGTAGTGAATGCACTTGGATGACTTATGATAGCTCCAATAGCTGCTCTACATTTGGATAATATTTGAGCCACTTCAGGATTTTCAAAACAAGCTAGCGCACATACTTGTAGAGTGTGAAGCAAACAGGGCACTAGAGTCAAACCACGATTAGTTAATGCTACAAGTAATTCTGATCTCGAAGTACTAACAACTACTGCTGTTATTCTCTCTATTTTGATGTCCCACTCTTTTAATAGGGAATCTATGATTCTGTCCCAATGATTCTCGTCCCAATCTAACGGTGCATGAAAGGTGCTTAAAATTTTACATTCTAATGTAGCCTCTTCAATATTTTGATAATAAATTGATACAGTCATAAAACACTCATCATTATTCGATTTCCACTCTTCAATTGTCAAAGCTATCTCCGAAGAGATGCAGGATAATGAACTTGCTACTGATTCTCGAAAATTATCATATATCCTTGGTATTATTTCCTGTTCTAATTTGATCTTGCTAGGAATTTCACAAGGCGAACGAAGGGTGGCTACCAGTCTCTGAAACCCACGCCCCTCTACAATCTCTGGCAATTGTAAATCCATTATAATAAATTCAGCTATAGCGTCTGATACTGTTTTCCCATCTACTGACTGATTCGTCACGTTATCTTCTGAAGGCATAAGGAAGGCTATATTCTGATTATTGCTATTCATATTGGATCCACCCTTGATCATAACTCTCAGTGGTTGACCGATTGTAATATCTTCTTCCATGTTTGATAGACTTATGTTAGGATCTGTAACAAACTGTATATCTCCATCTATCTGAACAGTACCGTCCATATTAGTGGTATAAATATATTTTGCTGGACTTAGACCAGTCTTCAATAATCTCTTTTGCGCTTTGCGTTCCTTGTTTTCCTGGAGAACAATCTGTTTAGATGGAGGACAGGTTTGTTCTAATTCCTGCAATTCATGGGCATGCTTATTTTGCAAATGCATGCGTAGATTACTGGTGTTGCGGTTGTAGGCAATTTGCGTCTTACATAGTATACAAACAATCTTCACTTTAGTAAGGATATCACCGTCATCGGTGGCTGGGAATCCAAAGAATTTCCAGTAGATGCTCCTCATCGATGGTGGCACCACCAGTTTCTTATAGGTATATGTGTGCTTTTCCTCCATCATTTTTGCCAATACCATTTGTACATCATTCTTGCTGTCGTTCAACGTGCTGCTCAATTTCGAGCCATTCGTTAACACTGGCTGCTGTTTATTATTCTCCATAACGTCCGTAATTAATACACGCTCACCGGCGTCAACATGTGTATGATCTTCCTCAAAGAATGTATCCACCGTATTTTCCGGTATTCGCGACTTACTTAGAATTATTGTCCGTACTCCATCAGAGTGGTGATTTCGCGGCATTTCAAATGTACTGTCACAAATAAACGTATTCTGTCGTACAGACAAATCTTAGCAAGCGCGTTTGTTGCGTGGCAGCCGCGACTGCACGCGAATTTACCGCGTTCCGATATATCTACTTTCCCTCGTGCGTCCGTCGATGAATTATTTTCGCAGATATCGAAGTTCAATTTCTCGCGTCGAAAAGAACGATGCCCGCGGATCGGCTATCGACTAGCTGGCAACGATGCGATATCGACTTTTGCGTCGTACGTCCAAAAGGGATATCGTTAACTATAGACCTCGCCTGATCGATTCTATCATCGTAATGGCGACCTAATGCTCGAGAAACAGAACAATGAAGAAGCGTCGTTTACTTCCTTTGTTCTGTTCCGCCATGTTATTTACGCAGTAAATTGCATACGCGCAGGAAACCGTGATAGCCAATCGTTTTTCGTTACTGTCGTTATTACTAGGAAAATGGAAGACTGATTGGTGCCCACGTTGCTACTTTCTGCGTGACGCGCGTGTCGCATTCTATTTGAGAGATCCGTTCTATGTTTTGTATTGTCTATGGTAATGCTGTCAATTGTTTGATCTAACCTAATCTTATCGTTGATGAAATTACCGTTGAGCGATGATAGATAGCCATTGATCTTTGCAAATATATTCGGTAATAATAACTTTTCTTTTTAAATAACAAATGCAGTTAGGAAGAGTTAGAAATAAGATCATATTCGATTTTTTTATTTAATAGGTTATGAAGCCGCGTTTCCCGCTTTCATCTCACAGAGTGAGAATCAAGAATATACATTACATCTATAAATGAAACACGCATGGATTAGTAGATTTATCGCAATCAGCTGAAAATGCGTCTGCCCAAAAGGTTTGGAACGTTATTTCTTCTAATATTATGGCGATTGACCTCTGTGATCTTGGTACAAACTGCTCATGTACCAGACGAATATTGGCAATCGTTGGAGGTAGCTCATCATCTGGCATTTGATTACGGATACCTCACATGGGAATGGACAACGATGATACGTAGTTATATGTATCCGCTTCTTATATCTATTCTCTATCGCGGACTCGCGCTATTTTCCTTAGACTTTGTACCACTCTTGACGACATTACCTCGAGTATTCCAAGCTGTTCTCGTCGCTTATGCAGATTATAGATTTTATAAGTGGATCAAGTGCAGGTGGATGTTGTTCATCTTGTGCTTGAACTGGTATTGGTATTATTGCGCCACGAGAACATTGATTAATGCTGTGGAGACAGCCTGCACTACTATAGCATTATCGATATTCCCATGGAAGGACAGTCATGTACAAAGTGTGAAGTTTTTGTGGATCGTAAGTTTTCTCTGTATGGCAAGGCCCACTGCTACAATTATGTGGCTTCCTTTGTGCTTGTACCACATCTGTACAAGTACAGAGAAGAAGATAGTGTTGTTTAGTCGATATATTATAATATGCTCTTTCTGTTTCTCCATTTCTGTATTAATCGATAGTTATTGTTACGGAACGTTTGTAGTAACCCCATGGAGGTTCTTCCAAGCAAACGTGCTTAGAAGTATAGGAAATATATATGGTAAACATTACGCGTTATGGTATATCTTCGTCGGCTTGCCGGTGTTGCTTGGACTGTATTACATTCCATTCTTGATCGCCGTGTGGCGGATATTCAAACATTCCGCATACTTCCATCGAGAAATGGTTATGCTTGTGGTAATCGGTTGGACATTAACTGTCTACTCGCTGCTGTCTCATAAAGAATTTCGATTTATTTTGCCGCTTTTGCCGATGTTGATATACACGAGCTCCGCCTGTACTCATCACTTAAACGTTAGAATCACGACGTTTACACGTAATAGTATTTTAGCGTTTTTAGTGTTCAGCAATGTCGCGCCCGGATTCTATTTCTCTCTGATTCATCAACGTGGCACGTTGAACGTGATAGAGCTCTTGAGGGATGAAATTTCTTACACAGGTGCTTCGTCGACGCTAATCCTGACTCCGTGCCACGCTACGCCGTTGTACAGTCATTTGCACGTAAATACGACGGTCAGATTTTTAACATGCGAGCCTAATTTTAACAATACTAAAGATTACATTGATGAGACGGATAAGTTCTCCGCGAATCCAAAAGTTTGGCTCGACGATAATTACGTTAACAATAAGAGCGTTGCGTTACCATCTTATGTGATAATGTTCGATAAGGTTGCAAGTAAGGTGACTGATTTTTTACGCAGCTACAAATTAATCGCCAAGGTGTTCCATACACATTTGCCACAATCAAAGTATGGAAAATATATATTATTGTATAAACATGTAACATTTGTTTAAAAGAATATATATTTTATTGTATATATGGACGTATATTTTGCACATATTGCATATATAACGAAATGGAAATATTGTTTTTATCCAAATAATAAATGTGCGATAATTTAATGAATCTGTGATTTTCACCTCAACAGTCTCTGTTCAACAAGCATTAAAAATATAATATTCCTTTCTTATCAAAAGAAGATAGAGAATAAACAATTTAGAAGTGTCTTTTACGTTTTTGATTTTGTAATATGTTTAATTTAATGAGAGAAATATTCCATGGATATCTCTGTTTATCATACTACTTGTCGAATTTTATTCCCTAAATTAAACATTACATTTTCTTCATTCCACAATATTTCCTTTCCCTTTTTCACACGTCCAAAACCACGTTAAAAACCACAACTTTTTACAGTTTTTTAAATGAGCATTCCCTTAGCTTTTGCGTAACGAGGAATGCAATGGAAGAAATCAATGTCAGTATCTTCGCTATTGATCATAAAAAGCCGCATCCAGGCTTGCCCGGCCATTAATAATTATTAGGTGATTATCGTGAAACAGCCATAAACCGGAAGGCTCCTCCTCGCTGAAAACGATTTGCGGGGATGCAGGGGGAAGGCGAGGAGTCGGAGTCTTCGCTTGGGATAAATGGGTACCGTTAGTAAGTAGGACTCGAATCCCAGACTCTCGATGCGGGAACGATAACGATTCTAACGGTATTCGCATCGTACTAGAGATGTGCTGAAACGCAATCATCGCCGAACCTGCACCGCAAATTTTTCAGTTATTTACTAGCGTATTTATATAAATAGTTATTACTTCCCGAATATAATATTAATCACGAATACGTGAAAATTATGAATCTGCCGAAAATTTTATGTACGTATTGCCGCTTCAGGTTAAAGCGTTTAAATTACGAGTTATAGGTTATAAATAGCACGTATTATGTAATCGCATATGTTTTTGATTATTACTACAAAATATACGAATATAATAATATGCGTTCCATAAAAATATGCATATAAAATGTCAAGAACATGTTTTTATTGAAATTTGATGGCAAAACATATTTTGCTATATTTATCGATGTCTCGACTGCAAAGATCAAGAATGAAATCAATAACGGTATCACGCTTTTTTATATTTTTGCTAGGATTATTCCCTCCATTAACAAGAAACTCCGGAAACTCGGGAAATGAATGGATAGAGTCAGCGTATTCCGAGTAACGGACAGCAGCGGAAGAGATAAAACAGAAAGTAAGACATCCGTCGGAAAAGCCGGGGAAAAACATGAAGGACGGCGCGGAGAAAGGAGAGGGAGATTCCTGGAGAGCACGAGATGTGCCGCGATCGGTGAGCAAGAGGTAAGACGTAACGAGCGGTGAGTGGAGGTAAGGTAACTCCGTAATCGAAGGTACACTCCATGGCGAGAGACTCCAGGTGTAAACGGGGAACGGAGGAAAATGTAAAAGGGAGAGGAGGGGGAAGACTGCCTACATGGAGTCAACGTTCCGGCTGGGTCAGCGACCACAATGTGCTCCTCGCTCGCTCTCTCCCGAGGTAGACCCCGCCGGACGTCTTCTCTCTTCCGTCTTCGACGAGAGCCGCTTCCTCGCGGCTCTCGCGCCGCCTCGCCCGAGTGCGCCCGATATCCGTGAAACTGCGCTTCACGCACAGAATATCCGGCTTCCTCATGGAGGAGTCCCAGACTTCCTTGTGAGGTGTATTTTTTCATTGAAACGTCCTTGTAGGCGGCCAGAAGTGCGATCGAATTGATTTGATTCACTTAATATTTGAAATTTGTCTGATTAAATTGATTTTAAATAATATTTGAGATTAATCGATTCATTTATGGGTATAAATATGCAAATTATTTTTTGCATTTTTTATTTATTTAATGGCTTTTATTAATTTATTAATAAATAATTACGACAGCTTAATATATTAAAGCAAATGTAACTATAGCAAATGTTACAATTATTCTTGGTTTATATACAAAGAATAAATATGAATTATTATTAATTAAAATAAGGGTAGGAAAAAATATATAAAATCAATAAGTATGAATTCTGGGTTATATTTTTGAATGCTAAACAAATAAGAATTTAAAAATGCTGAGAATTTAAGAATGGTTCATGAATATGTATTAATAAAACATTTTTTTCTTCACAATTTTTAAGGAGTGTTTGTACTTTTATAGATTGCCCAAGAGTCTCTAAGATTCGCGATGTCTCAGTGCAAGAATTAGTTCCATGTAATTTAAAAGAATGCACCAGCAGTTCACGGGAGAGACCTGTCTCGTGGTGTTTCGAAAGTTACGTAGCCAGACACAAGAGCGTGTATGCCTGCTCAAGAGAAAGTTCCTGGCAACGGTGAATCCGCTCTCTATCCTTTTACCGCGTGTAAAAGAATCCAAAGTGGATCGACATCGTCGTCAGAATTGTGAAGAATCCCTTTAACGTTTAGCAGTCTAACTGTGAACTTCGTTCACACCTCAGTTGACTAGATTAAACCGATTTAACGGTTTAAAAGTCTGCCTTGCGTTTTTCTAGAATCTATTTATAGAAAGACAAGAAAAACGGTAATTAAAATACAGTTAATTAATATTGAATCGAGCATTAAGTTTCCGCAACTTTTGCATGAATGAAAAAAGTATTCACACATTGTTTCATACAGGAGTTTCCTAATCTTGCCTCTTATTTCGTTTCCTAAATGATAAAAATAAAATCGTTATTACAAGTCCTGATTAAAATCCCCTATTTTTAATTCTGAAATCGATTATGTCTTTGAAAAGTTTCAAAAGTTTCGCCCTGAAATGTCATATAAACTTGTGCGATTTCGACGGAATGTAACATCCCTTTCTCTTCTACGTTGTTTCTTAACCGAGTATAATTTTAGATATGCGCCGAGTTTATTAAGATGTTTACGGATATATAATTTAAAGTTTTACATATACAATAAAAATGTCATACTAGACATGAATGAATACTATTGCATAAATAAAGATTCTACAAAATATAAATATTAATTACATATATTTTCTTAGTATATTAATTAATGTGTTCTTTTAGATTTTATATTTACGTTATTCTCTGATTCAAGGCAAGAGTTTTCTGGAAAGCGAGCATTCGGAGACTACAAATAATCTGAAAACAAGAATATTTCAATATTAGAACTGCTCATTACGTTTCACTTTGCATTGACAATCAGTGGAATCTTGTTCTAAATTACTCGCTTGATGTTGACATCATTGACATTGCTTTGAAAAAAAGGCACAAAAACCTTGATGACGGGAAAAAGTGGAGTCTAACGATACCTTGGTAATAATAATAACGTAATAATATATTCATATTGAGTGGAGCCGTGATATTGGTCGTACAGAGTCCGATATCATAAACCGGCTTTCTTCGCTGATGCTGGAATCCAGGCAGACTTTGCTCTCCGAGACTTTAACGCGCTTGTACGCGCGTCTCCATTCGCGAATAATCCAATATGTACGAATTTATACGAGAGCGATAAAACATTTTTTTTAATTACTAAACTAGATGATTAATTTGCAAATTATTGTTGCTATAAAAAATTCTTCAAGTTTTTACAATAGTTTTAAATAATTCTTTTTGCAATGGTTTCAACTTCTGTTCCTGGTTATTCATTTTCAAATTAATCGAAGTAGTTAAAGACCACATATTTACAATTTTGATGTTTCGCAGGTATCATCGAAACGAGGATTCCATCGTGAGTAAGCATACGGATTATTTCTGCGTGTTTGTGTCTCTGAAGAATTCCTGCAAAATTACTCAATAGTTGCGATTTCCGGTGAAAACGTCTTCATGAGGCTGATATTTCGCATGGAAATAGCTTTTCCTGTTGCGACGACGTGCATCATGGACCTGTGACCGACGTCGATGCACTTGCCTTCTCTCAACGGCATGTTACGCGCCGTCGCTGCCGGCCAATCGTGTCCGTGAGGCAACAGGTGGCCGACCAATCCTGCACAAGACCGCTGATCTCGTCTAGAACACGAGGCATTTTACTCCTTCGGATATTCCTACCGAATCCAGCGACAGCTGTTCCCGTCTGCCTTCTCTTTCGCACTTTCGTCTCTAACAAGTAGGTATCTTCTGTCACGCTCTCTCTAAGTGATAGCGGTAATAAAATGACAGAGAGGGACATCGTGTTCTGTCGCACGTTGTATCTCCGTTCTTCTGTTTATTAATATTAGCGGCGCGTGTTTCATGTTTACATTTCGATTTATGCTAAATTAGATAAGGAATAAGAGATGCAAAGACATAATCTACTTTTGGGAAATCTTATCTGTATCCTAAATAATTTCACAGTTAGTTTTATAAGACGATTTTGTATGCTCATTGCGTAGCAAAATTTTTTATGAGCGCATATAAACGCGTTAAATATGCATGAATGTATAATGACTAGGTCATCGGATTGACTGTCAATATAAAAATATTAATTTATTATGTTTCAACGTGCCATTTTTTGTTCAAGAGTAATTGTGAAACGAAAGAAATAATGAGTGTCATAGCGTTATGACAACATGATTTAGCAAAATCAAGTTTTGCTATATCACGGATGAAGTAAGCTCATTTTTCTTCTTTATTATTCTATGCAAAGTGCACTGCGAGTATCACACGTGGAAAAACAATTTGATAGCAGATAAATCCAATTGATTTAACGTAAAAATCGGACACGGTCAATTTACGCACGATATTTTGCGCTACTTTCATCGACATTTTCCGCACTTTCTCTTATAATTGCGGCAGTGTTTAATGGTATCGTTTCTTTCGATTACTTTCCGCGAAAGAAAGTATCGATCAAACTCGAGATTTCCAGAAAAAATTCCGCAGAAAATATTTTGACACCGAAAAATTGATCATGAAAATTAATTTTAAAAGTTCTGATATTTATATTGTATGGCAGGAAACCGCATAAATTCAATGACGCGGCCGCACAACCATACGCTGAATCATTTATGTGATTCATTATGAAATGGCATAAAATTAATCGTGATAAGAATAGAAAATATATCGATTGTGCTTATAAAATTATTGCATCACTTTCATTTATAATGTTAATTTTGAATATTAAGTCATATCGAAAGAGATAAAGGAAAAAAATTAGAAACGTGCGAGCCGGAAAGTTTGTTAAATGTGGACAATTTACATAACAATGCAACAGGCTAAGCGCATTGACAAAACGACATTTGCAATTTTTATTTTAACATATTCTAGAAAGAATGTTTTTAATGAGTTTTAAAAAATTTCAAGGATTTTTAAATTTAAAAGGATCGCAATTCTCGTTTGAACAACATCGCTTGTTTACTATTCATTATTCTGATTTGCTGTCGAATTTTATTGCTATCGATTTTTCTATTAATATTTAATGTTGGATTTTAGCGAACGTGTTTTTTCATCACATCGATTTTATGCGAATGGCGCCGTTCTTCGAGGCTAATGACACATGTCGCTCACCTCGTGAAAAGAGAACCAACAAAAATGAATGTGAGCGGAATTGTCTATCTTATTCAACACCAAGGCCGCAATCACAATTAGGAGGGAACCCCGCATCAAAGACATGTATGTATGTATTGTAGCGCATTGAACACATTATTAGTGTCCACATTTACAAAGATTCTCCACCGATCCTCTTTTTTTTGCAATTACGAAATCACACATTCAGTCATGTAAATGAAGAATTATGCTTCTTAAATTTTGCAAAGAAATTTGACTGATTGGTGTGAGTGTTTCATCATTATTATGCATCTCGTACCCATGATCATTTCGAGTGACGGCTCTCCCGCACGGCCAGGTGCACGCGCCATTTTTCCCGTTCAACCGCTTTTCGATTCACGTGTTAATGATTATCAAGGATTAAAAGGTGGCATTTGCCGCCGCGTGATTTCAAAAACCCGCGACGAAACGCACGCCGAGCATGCAATTCGTTTCACGTGTTCGTCACATGGATCCGCCATGAGTGAGGCAAGCGTTGCGTGCTGCTCCAGGTGGACGTGGCCGTCGCTTGCAAAAGTGCGAGCGGGGTTACTTCGTGGAACGGCGTGCGAGTGGAGCGTCTGCGCACCTGGCGCAGCCGCTTCGACCTGTCTTTCTCCAATCTGGCCGCGTTGCGATTTTCATCACTCCGCTAGATCGTGGGTCAACCGAGGTAGCAAGAAAATAACATTTTTCTGCCCTGTGCACAAAAATCTGCATCTTTTTATCCTCCCTTCGGAGCGGCTCTTTCCTTCATTTCTTCCTTTCTCCATCTTCTCTTTTCGCTCGTTCTGTTGATCTCTCTCCTGTATTTCCCCTCTCCTTTCTCTCAGCAGGCAGGCAGGCAGGCAGGTAAGCAGGCAAGCAAGCAAGCGAGCAAGCGAGCAAGTAAGCAAGCAAGCAAGCGAGCGAGCAAGCATGCAGGTACTCGACACTGCCCCCTTCCTCTCTGCATGTGTCTTACCCAGGTAGCCTGATTCCAATTTCAGCCGCATTTTTTCGAACGACACTCGTAACATTTCGGCAGGTCAAAACTCATCGGAAGTAAATAACGAGTTATCTTTAGGTCAATGTATCAAAACTCTTCTGTTGCCTGTAAATTTAACTCTTCAATATTTATTATCCCTATGCGCACTTATTTAGTTTTTGCTTGATTAATGCAAATTCTTATTTTTCTAGTAAATATTAATTTGTTTAGATAAGAATCTTTTCACAGCAACAGGTATTTTATTCTCTCTTTCTCTCTCTTCTTCTTTCTATTTCTTCATTTCATCCCTATGAATATTTAATATCTATACGTCCATTTGCTCCAGCTCGTTATTAGTGCGAATCGAAGTCCATTAGATATTTATCTATTTTTACTTATTGTGTGTGTCCTACGAGAACCGTTTCACAGCAACGCAACAAGTGTTTTCTCCTCTTTCTCTCTCTCTCTCTCTCTTTTCCTTCCTTCCTTCCTTCCTTGTCTGCTTGTCTTTCTCATTTAACACCTGAATATTTGATTCACGCACACTGGTCTATAACTCGTCATTAGTGCGAGTTGAAATTCCACGAGATATTAATTTGTTTTTGCTATTTGCTCAAGGAACAAGAACCTTCCTACTGCACGCAATAAATATTTCCTTCTCTCTCTCTTTCTCCCTCCTCCTGCCGTAAGATGCCAGGCGAGCAAGGGTTCCAGCCAACGAGAGAGGGGCCTCGTCGACGCGCAGTCGCCAGGTGAGGCAACGACGACGACGTGTTCGCCTCGTTACGCTCGGCCGGGGGGACGGTACGGTCAGTGCTGCACGGAACCTTGCGACTTTCAACGGCGCTCCGTCCGAGCGAGAGCAACCGTAAGACAGTGGGAGAAAGAGAGAGGGACGGAGAACACCAAATAACTCCCGAACGCACACCGGGAATCGATTCTTACCTCCGGTTTTTCGGTTACTCCAGGTGTGCCATCGGTCGGATCGCTGCCGATTCATAACCTCAAACACGAACCTGCCGTGTCCGTCGTCGTTGGGAAATGTGTTCACGCGTGGCACGGATTAATCAGTGAATAATCATCAGTGATAGCGGGGCATAGGTGCCCCGGCGTCGAGACGTCGCGCGAGTGCGTCGCGCAAGGTGCGTGAAACAGAAGGCGGAAGAAGAAGAGAAGGCAGAGAGGGAGAGAGAGAGAGAGAGAGAAAGAAAGAGAGAGAGAGAGAGAGAAGCGGCAAAATCGACGTGCCGTGTCGGAGCTGCCAGTTGTGCGGCTCCCACAGGAACGATGACGGGAACGAGGACGCCAGCAAGCACGGAGGAGGCGGAGGGAGCTCCTCAGGTCCCTTAGTCGCCCTGTACGTAGCGACCGCCGGCCTTCAGGGAAATGCTTTGGGTTCTGATGAAGAAGAGATCACGCTGCTCGTCTACGTACTCATCGACGAACTGCAAAATAAGGTAACATAAAGCAAAGAGGGACGGATAGAAAGAAAGAGAGAGAGGGATCATTCGAGGCACGAGGCGGAAATGGTTCGCCACGGACGAGTTGACTCTCTCGGCTTAGGATTCACCTTCTCGCTGTATTACCTGCACCGCAGTGCTGCAGCGATCGAAAATCGCCCGTATTCAATCTCGAAAATAAGCCCCATCTTGAAATAAGCCCCATTATTGTGAACAAATTCGCTGCTTATCCGGCTTGAGCGATTACATTGCACGCAAATTGATAAAATGATAAGGTTGAAATAACAGGTACGTTCGTTAGACGCACTTTCTCGTATTATCTCGTATTTGAAACGATTGAGGCGCATATTCGGTCTGGCGGGAGGACCATAGGGAAGGGGGTAAAATGCCATTAAAGCGAGCTTACCTCATATATGAGTTTTTAAATATACCTATGCGGAGATATGTGATGCTGTCCGACAGCGGCGTTCGGTTTACGAGTTTTCGTCAACGACGAAAGTCCATTCGATGTTCGACCTTTTACGTATATACTGTCGTTTGCTGTGAGTATAATGACAATTCTATTAGTAGACTTAGGACCGCGCTCGTAACGTCATTTCAGGCTGTGTTTAGTTATGTAAATTTCTTTTCTTTACCTGCCTATACCTTGAAGAACATTATAATTTGAAAAAGAGCAACGCGAGTCTGTCCGCGCCAGGGCCATTTAATTTAGACTGTCGATTTGAACATGAATAAGATGTAGCGTTGCTTTCATTAAATCATAATAAATGTTAACAGTACACTTTTCTAAGGTGGCACGGGTAGTGCGAGGCCTTGAGCAGTTTGCTCAGCTTAAAACCGACGCTGATAAAGAGGATTATATCTCTTTGAAAGTTCTAGGTGTTTGATGATTGACGATAATTTGCTGAATTGCCGTGCCGCTATTTATGCCGTTCGACGTATAATTTAGGGAGAAATAATGGTTCGGCAGAATCATACAATTACAGTCTATTGATTCAATCGTATCGAAATCGTAGACGAAATTCCTTAGTTTTATATTGGAGATAGTTTTATATTGTGAAAACTTGTCCATGATGTGAGCGCGCGCTCATGATTAGGTATCGCGATTAGCGAGTTTTTTAAAACTTTGCACTTCTTGGTCTCGTCGACACGAGATGTAAACAAAAAATCATGATTGAAAAATAAATCGCGATTATCGTCGCGCATTGCACCTACGGATGGCAGTTGTGACTATAAAAAGTTGGGTTTTTTTGTCGTTGTTTCGGAATCCCTTGATAAGAAAGACGAAGATGATGAAAAGTGTAATTAAGATTTAATCTTATTATTTCGAGTTAATAGAATTTTCAAATAGTTTAATGTCTTGTTTGTAGTAGAACTAATAATAATTTTATACAACTGTTTTAAAGCTTCTCGCTTGATATATTATGCGATTGATTAATGCATTTAAATGAGTAAGCAAGTAAACGTGTTTCTGACGAAAACAAGGAAATGAATGCAAAGTATGCCGAACAAATAATTTATGAGACTAGTTTTAGAGGCTATTTTATGAGACTAGTATAATAGAGTATAATTTTATAAAACACATTAGAGTAATTTTATTTAAAAAATAGAAGAAATAATTAATAAATCAGAATTAAATTACAATATTATTAAAGTCCTGAAAACTATTTGACATTAGTAAGATAGATATAAATTAAATGAATAATGAATTTTTTAAAGTCTAAACTTGTTTTCTCAAATGGTAATAGTTTCATTTATTTAAAAATTATTTGTTTAACGTTAAATTGTCTGAAATTTTATTACTGGCTTTCTTGATTTTGATGTCACTTCTTTGTCCACAAAATTTTCAAGCTACACAATGGTGTTGATGGGATTCTTAATAATTTTAGTCATTTTTTTCTTTACTTTGAATTCTTGATGCAGGTAGTTTGTGTTATTCTTCTTAGAATTCAGCATCTTGCTTTCAACACAGGACGCATTTATTTTCCAATAAAACTCATTAACACCGTCGGTTCTCGATTGCCGCAAAAGATTTTTGTGAAAGGCAAAGTGCTTCGTTAAGTTGTTTCAATATTTTTCTTATAGTTCACATAAAATTTAATGGTTGGAAGATTCTGAAGTAAAAAATTTTCTTAATTAAATTAAAGGTAAAATTAAAATTAGGAAGTGACGAAACAAATTTTAGTAAAGCTAATTCCTGGTTTTAATGATTTTTTAAAACATTCACGATATCTTGGAAGAAAAATTTGAAAACAAATTTGCATATGCGCTGAATGAATAATAATAAAATAATAAAAGAATAAATATAGCTGAGTCAGAGTTGACATTATGCCTGCATTTGCATACAACCAGATGTAAAAAAGAATATCACGTCCCGTCAGGTGAAACAAATTTCACACGACGTGACGTCGCCGCAAATTCGCGAAGCCGCATCACGCAAAGTGCGGCTTCCGTTCTCGCGGAAGCCGGTCTTTCCTCGCGAGACGCTTGCGCGCGGTCATGCCGGTGCGTGTCGTCGTCGGCTGCCATTGTTTCTCGAATTATCCGACGGAGGCGGAGCATCGCGCCCTCGAAAGGTCGTCCATTACCTCCAGCCTTGTGCCGGCGTGTTCACCGGGTTATGCGCTTGGCGCCGTTCGTTCTCCTCTCCTTTTTTTTTTAATTTTATTTTCTTTCCTTCTTTCTGGCTGACTTTCTATCCGGATCCGATTCATCGATCCTCATCTGTCACGTGGCAACGATATCGTTGAAACTCAAATCAGCAATTTGAAGAAGAATCTCTGCTGTATTAATTCTAAATTATTATTCTGTATGAATGTCGAATTATTATACTTTTTTTTCTGGATTACAAGTTTTTGGATTTTTAGAACTTTAGTTTAATCCTCTCGTTAACGTGTGAAACTTGGGTCGAAAATAAAAATGTTTACGACTAGATTTACGGCTAGGTTTATGGCTAGGATGTTTGTGGGTGATCTTGCGTAAAAGTGCTTGCGATATTCTTCCCTTTCACAGATTGAGACATCTTACACGTTCCGCGCAATTTTGCCTCAACGTCTTCTTTATAATTTAGCAAAGCAATGTAAAAATAGAACATTAAAGTGGAACGAGTAATTAGAAAGTCTAATCTAGTGTTCACTTCGTACAATCTGATGTACATTAAGTCGCTAGATTTATTCATCCAATGCGATGTTCAAAATCTTACTATTATCCTGATAAATTCTTCTATTATTTCTCTTTAAATTTTCTGCAGTAGTGAATTAAAATATTTCAGAGCTGCTACAGCCTGAATTTTTAAATCCAATGGAACGCATGGAACACTTATGTGAACACTATTTAAAATGTTTTCTTTCTTTTGAAAAACTTGAGGCTATGTAATAATTACGATAATAAGTATGGAATTAATATATAGAATTAAATCTTATAGCTGTACTTGCGTGAGACAGTATATATGTGAGATATTTTTATTCTTCCGCAATTAGGTTAATTTCGCACTATGACGGTTCTCTCTCTCTCTCTCTCTCTCTCTCTCTCTCTACGTCGTCGTCTCTCTCTCTCTCTCTCTCTCTCTCTCTCTCTCTCTTATTTTGAGAAATCTAGCGCGCGGCGTGTGCCCGCATCGCGGGCAACAGGTGCGCCTAGTTTTCTTTATTCTTTGTTGCGAATCGTGTCTTGCACGAGTGCACCCGGGTTCCATCTGGTCGGCCGTTTCCTTTTTCCCCCGAGTCACATACCTGCCTGGCTATAATCTCGAATGGTGCGCCCCGATCGGGGACAACGGCCGCGAGCGTGTTCCTCTCGCTCCTCTCGCGAGACGTGCTATTGAGAGGAAATCGAACGATAAGCGGCGCCGCTGCCGCTGCCGATGATATCGCGTTAGATAGCGACGTCTGATGTAACGCCTCGCCTCAAAAATTCATGGCTCGGTTTCGCAGTATCTTCTAATATAGTATCTTTCCATTCACCAAGCGACAGATCTCTTAGGTTTCTCAAAATAAATAGAAAAGCGCATTATCTTCATTGCAATTTAATAAGAATATAATTAATACAGAGTTTAATATTTATTGGAACTAATGTAATATTTATTAGAAGGAATAATGTAGGTATAAATTGTCAATTTACATGATTGGCAACGTTTTTCAATCTACTTTTTCATTTCCATGTTTATTGGCGATTAAAATTCAGATACATTTGTATTACTTGATACATAATTTTATATGAAAAGTAGTTGTATCTAAAAAAAAAATAACTTAGGTTACTTTATTCCAGAAGATTTAGATATCTCTTTTGGTGCGCAATTGACGAGTTATTCGATGCCAAATGTATTTGAAATTATAAATAACTCATGCGACCAACTGAACACATACATACGTACATCGTCAGATTGTCTATCTCGTTTCACAATTTCGCAGTAGTATATACTAAATTTATCAGATACTGCAAAACTAACGAATAAAGCTTCCACAATCTCAAGTGTTTCTTAGATAACAGATCAATTTTACACATTCATCATATTGTATCTTTGAAAGAAGTTAATAAAGAAATTGAAGGAATTGAAAAAGATTTATCTGGACAGCAGATTTTTGAAAGATTCACGATAAATGATTAATAAATCAGAATTGTATATGTTAAATAAAAAGTTACACAGCTCTTTCTCAAGTTAGATTCTTCACGAATTGAATTAATTACAAAAGAGAATTGCAAGTCCGCAGATATGTTATTATTTATAAAATAC